GACACCATTAGCAAGGATACCAAGTTACAATTTGTTGTAGATTACAGTTTGTTGTCTCAGTCCAGGTAAAGCAGTGTCTCAATAGATTAACTCACAGTCCAGGTAAATCACAGTCCAGGTAAGTTCTGCAGGCAGCTAGCTTAAATCACAGTCCAAGTAAGTTCTGCAGGCAGCTAGCCTAAGCTGTAGCAACAGAAACAGCAACAGCTCCAAAGTCTCGTCCGTTTCTCAGCCGAAGTTTCCTCCGGTTTTCAGCAACACTGGAAATTCTTCCATCCTCGTCCTCACCGGCACTGGGATGAAGGCAGGGACTCTGGCAATGATGCTAAAGAAAATCCTGTAGCATTCCACTAAGAAAACAACCTTCTGAACAATTTAGTACATTATCTCAAGGTTTTTTACATTTGAAATAAGCCTTAATAGTGCTCATYACTCATTAGCTTCCAGGTGTGGGAGAACCATTGTAGTTACTGGCCTGGGAAATGATCAAACTTCAGGGAGGCAGGCTGTCCCCCACCTGCAGCGTCCTAGGCTGCCCCAGATGGCCCCGGGGAGAGTCCCGGGAGTGTTCTGGACTCAAACTGCCACTGGGCACAGGGAGCAAGAGCCTGCGAGACTGTGCCTCCAGGTCAGGTTTGGAGTTGGGCTCTCAGAGTGGCGTCCCGCTGCCCGGGCAGGGGGCGGGGAAGAGCCGGCTGCGGCCGCTTGGAAAGTCCTTGCTGCACCGTGACCAGCTCACGCACATGGCAGCTGCCGCGCTGATTCACGCACCCTCCGGTAACGAAAAGTATTCAGTAATAGCCTTTTGCTGCAACTTTTTTCCTGATAATTCTTCCTCCTCTGAACTTTCTTCTTTCTGACTAGAGTTCCCAGGCTTCCATCAACACATGCCCCAACTATTCTTGGTTCCACTGGGGTGCCTCTTTGCCTTATCAATTTATCTAACACCCCCTCCATATTTTCATCACAAAGACAATACAATACACTGAGACAAAACAAGACACAAACATACTGTATCAATCTTCTCCATTTTCTCAAAATGGCCATTTTTCCTCTCACCCTATGTGCCTAGGGACAAGCAGATTTGCTCCCGTCCTATCTAGGGATGGGCAGCTTTTTTTCGTCACTTACTCTCGAGTGTCCCAGGACTGCAGCAAAATAACCGGGGGGGGGGGGGGGGGGGTGACAAGCAACTTGTGTAGATTGATACAGCAGGAGTGGGAGCCCTTTATTGTAGGACAGGAGGGGTATATATACATTACACACAGCTTATCTTCATTAACATAGACTAGATACAGCAGTCAACCAATAAGGAATCTCCACACTTAATGGCTTGCTGGCATTACTTTACAAACCACTCCCTCTGCAAAATGCCAGGCACCATCTTGACTTGTTTACAGACCCTATCAGCTATCTATGCTAAGCTCCAGGACAACATCATTCTAAATGGAGAAAAATTAAAAGCATTCCCTCTAAAAGCTGAAACAAGACAGGGAAGTCTTCTTTTACCACTTCTATTTACAATAATTCTTGAAACTCTAGCCAGAGCAATCAGACAAACAGAAGAAATTAAAGGGACACAAATAGGAAGAGTACTCAAATTATCACTATTTGCAGATGATATTATTCTATACCTAGAAGACCCAAAACATTCCATCAGAAATTTCCTAGAACTAATAAATAAATTCAGCAAAGTAGTAGGATATAAAGTCAACACCCATAAATCAAAGGCATTTCTGTTCATCTGTGACAAACACACTGAAAGAGAAACTAGGAAAACCACGCCATACAATAGCCTCAATAAAATAAAATATTTGGGAATAAACTTAACAAAAGAGGTGAAAGACCTCTACAATGAAAACTACAACACGCTAAAAAAAGAAATTAAAGAAGATCTTAGAAGACGGAAAGATCTACATTGTTCTTGGATAGGCAGAATATTGTCAAAATAACCATACTACTAAAAGAACTATACAGATTCAATGCAATCCCAATCAAAATCCCAATGGCATTCCTTATAGAAATATAAAAAGCAGTCATGAAATTTATCTGGAAAAATAAGAGACCCAGAATAGCCAAAGCAACCCTTAGCAAGAAGAGTGAGGCTGGTGGCATTACCATTCAAGACTTTAAACTGAGCAGTAGTAACAAAAACAGCATGGTATTGGCACCAAAATAGACGTGTAGACCAATGGTACAGAATAGGGGAAACAGAGTCTAACCCACATAACTAAAGCCAGATTTAAAGTTAGGTAGTCAGTGTAGTTAGGTAAATCAGGTCTAATACCCAGTGAAATCTAAAATGGAGGCCATACTGAGAATGACTCAGGGAAAACAGGACAACTCATGGAATGTTTATGAAGTCCTGAAAAGGCCCTAGGACAAAGTCCACCTCAAAGAAGTGTTAACCAACAGCCCCAACAGATTTGGAAAAAGCCCATCCCAGAGAAGTGATAATCCCATCCCAAAAGGTGATAATTAGGCCCACCTGTGTCCCACCCCTCGGGCCTTCCAACCTACATTCCATCACCAAAACTATAAAAAGGGGAAACAACCGCACTTCCACGGATTCCACCTCTTGGGTCCCCTTCTTCCTCCGGGAGAAGTCTTTTCTGCTGTCCTTTAATAAACTTCTAATTTCTACTCTGGCCTTGCCTCGGCGTGCTTCTTTGGTGTTATTCTTCAACATCGGGGAAGCAAGAACTCGTCACAGGTCAACAGCGGTATCATAACTACAGTATTCTTATATTAGACAAAGGTGCCAAAGCATACACTGGAGAAAAGATTGCCTCTTCAACAAAAGGTGCTGGGAAAACGGGAAATCCACATGTAACAAAATGAAATTAAACCTCTATCTCTCACCATGCACAAAACTCAACTCAAAGTGGATCAAGGACCTAGGAATTAAGCCAGAGACCTTGCACCTGATGAAGAAAAAGTAGGCCCAAATCTCCATGACTTCAGATTAGGCCCCAACTTTCTTAATAAGACTCCTATARTGCAAGAATTAAAACCAACAATCAATAAATGGGATAGATTCAAACTAAAAAGCTTTTCCTCCCAAAAGAAACAATCAGTGAGGTGAACAGAGAGCCTAAAGAATAGGAGCAAACCTTTATCACAAGCACTAATCTCTAGGATATATAAAGCACTCAAAAACCTTAACACCAAGAAAACAAACAACCCAATCAATAAATGGGCCAAGGAACTGAACAGACACTTCTCAGAAGAGGATATGCAATCAATCAACAAACATATAAAAAAATGTTCAACGTCTCTAGCAATTAGAGAAATGCAAACCAAAACTACTCTAAGATTTCATCTCAATCCAGTCAGAATGGCAATTATCAAGAATACAAACAACAATAAGTTTTGGAGAGGATGTGGGGGAAAATGCACACTCATACCTTGCTGGTCGGACTGCGAATTGGTGCAACCACTCTGGAAAGCAGTATGGAGATTCTTTGGAAAACTTGGAATGGAACCACCATCTGTATAAACAACTCCTGGGTTTATACAGATTTGGGTCAGGAAGTTGGAGACACCCTGAGGGATTGAAATGTTAATGCCTTCAGAGCCCTTCCTCCAACCTTATCCCAGATAAACTGGCCCTGCTCCACACTGTTGCTAAGGTAACCTGTCCCAGGAATTATCCCTCATAGAGGGAGTTATAAAAATTGTTAATTAATGCACCTGGACTCCCTTCCTGCCTGGATCACTCCACCATGGCCCTGCCAGCCCATCTGCTTCTTWCCTTTTGGCCATCTCACCTGGGCCATCTCCCGCGCTTAGTCACACAGGAAGGAGAGAGATAAGGGAGAGCAAAGAGAATCTAGAATGCATAAAAGAGGCAGAACACCCTCACTTCTTGCTCCCTTCTCCCTCCCCGGTGAGGTCTATCTTACCCCTTTTTAAATAAACCCTGCTTTATATACTAGGCTCGGAGTGCTTCTCTAATTTTATACTTCAACATGTGAGGAAGCAGAACTCATCACCATAAACCCTTTTCCCCTTTCCCATCCCTTCTTCCTCCTCTTCAATCCCCAAGTTTTTTTTTGTTGTTGTTTGTTTGTTTTTTGTTTTTAAACAAAACAGAGTCTCACTAAATTGCTGAGGGTCTCAATAGTTGCAGAGGCTGGCCTCAAACTTGTAATCTCCCTGCCTCAGCCCCCTGAGTCATTGGATTTACAGGCATGTGCCACTGCACCCAGTTTAAAAGAGCATTCTTTCTTAGGTCATGGTTCTGTTGGTCAGAAGTCTGGCATGGTATGGCCRGGTTCTCTGCTCACATCACAAGGCAGAAATGAAGGTATCAGATGAACTGAGTTTTCACTGGAGGCTCTTGAGAAACAAAATCCACTTCCAAGCTCATTCTAATTATCAGCAGAATGTCCTTCCTAGAGTTTTTGTGCCTGAGCTCCCTGTTTCCTTGCTGACTGTCAAGCAGGGACCCTTCTCAGCTTCCAGAGGCCTCTTGCTACTCCCTGCCAAGGGGCTTCCCATTCTCCATTCTTTAAAGCCAACAGTTTGCCTTCAAACTCTGACTTTTCCTTCAGCAATCAGCCAGAGGAAATGCTTTGCTCTTACAGGGCTTACCTGCTCATGTCAGCAGCACCCATTCTGCCACATGGTATAGGATAATCATGGGATAAACACCAGTTCCACCCACACTCAAGGGGGAGAGGAGTAGATGAAGGCAAGGGTCATTGGAGGCCAATTTAGAATTCTACCTGTCAGGGTTTTAATTTTATTCACACTTTGGAAACATGGCAAAGAGGCTGTGAACTGTATGCTCTAACTGGGCCACTAGATCATCCTCTTAGCTACTCTCAATACAGTTATGTTCCAATACCTATGGCAGTTAAACTCCTGGGGAGTTGGAAAGATCAAGGTAAGATCAAAGTCTTACAGAAGAAAGGAGATTGAGGGAGCAACAAAAGGGTCATTAAGTAAATACTAGGGTCTGTACATTCTTAACTAAAGCATTTGATTCCAAAGCCAATCACGTTAATCAACATTAAAAAATGTTTGAATTAATGTCTTCACTTATCTTCTTCCTCATTCAGGAATGTATCTGTGAACATCATGATTTTTAAATTTTATAAAACTCATAAATTTTTATTTGTTTAATTTTCACATAAAAAAGTCCTCTGTATAAAAGTTTTGGATCACATGTTATAAGTTATAAATCTAATGACATTACACTGCCATTTTCCTTTATTTTCACAACTACAGCAAACTGTCATTCTCTATCTTAAGGTCTTGTTTTTCAGGATCTGATCTTTTTTTTAAT